AAGTTGCCTATATAACACGTCCACTTGAGTAAAAGCAAACACCTCAAACTAACATGACCCAAAACACCGCTGTCCCCCATCATCCCACTGAATATGCTGGTCCTGAAGTCATTGGGTCCTCTGAAAACGCACACTGTGCTGTGATGAGGCCAGAAATCTGGGAGGCGGCTCTTCATCAGCTCTCACACTTCTCTCTCCTGTCCAGTCTCCCGTGTTTAGCTCTAAATCCCAAGCATACCCAGCAGCCAGCCTCCTCTTCACTACTGTCCTGTTCCAAACCTCATCTCCTGCTTGTGTTACTGCTATAGTCTCCTATAACTGTTCTCTCTTTCTAAACCTGTTCCTTTATAATTTCCCTTTTTTTATATTAAAATACAATAAACTATGAGGTATGCAAGTCTTAAAGGAGCAATTCAAATTACTACCTGTATAATCACCCCTGGTCAATCTCTAGAAAATTTCCAGCCCTCAGGTAATTTTCCTCCTTCCCCTTCTACTGCTAAAGACTCTACCCTGTAAGCCTAGTTACTCTTCCTTGTATATGGAATCAGTCACTATATTTGCCTTTGTCTCTATTTTTTTCTCTCACTAAATATTGTCTGTAAGAGTGATCCGCATTGTTGATTGTAACAATAATTCCTCTTTTGCCATGCTTTGGCACAGTCCCTGATATGCATATACCATGATGGATTTATCTAGTCTGTTGCTGCTGATCCTATGGCGTGATCCTGCACTGGTTCTGTTAGGAATACTGCTGCCGCAAGGAGCGATACTCCTTTCTTTTGAGCATATTGCATTCTTGGAGGAGAAGTGAGACTGATGCTGTTAGAATGTCCAGTCTACAGAATGTCTTGCTCAGAATCCTCCAGCACTTTCTCATTTCCTTCAGAATGAAAGCCGTAGTTCTTACAAAGACTTAGAAGACACTATTCTCTGAAATCCCAGTGTAGTCTCTGTTCTAAAAACATCAGCATTGAACCTTGCTCGAAATAAAGACTCATGTGCCCCCCTCCCCTAGTGTTAACAAGTCAGAACCCGCTTTTAACAAATTCTCCAGATGACTCTCAAGTCAGCTACTCTTGTGTGAACCTGCCCTTGACCTGAACTAACGTTGTTGCCTGCCACTCCCTCCAGGCTTGCTCCGTGCTGGCCTAGTATCACAATAGTATGTCTTTGTTGTTGTTGTCATTGTTATGTGCCATCAAGTAGCCTGCAACTCACAGCGATCCTATGTACAAGAGCCCTAAACCCTGCTCTATCCTGCGCCAATCGTATTGTCTCCAACACACCTACCCCCATTATCCCAATGACAGAATCAATCCATCTCACCGACGATCTTCCTCTCCTCTCCTGTCCTGTCCTGTCCCTCAATCCTCCCAAGCATGACGTCCCTCTCCAAGGGCTGATTCTGCCTTGCAACATGTCCGAAGTATGTCAGATGGAGCTTCAGAATCCTTGCCTCCAGGGAGCAGCCTGGCTTCACCCTCTCCAGGACGAACTGTATCTTATGTTCATGAAGAGTGATCCCAGAGAGTGACTATGAGGGAGGAAGATGGGAATGCCTAAACGCAGGCAGTGAACCTGGAAGGTGGGCAGGTTTCAGAAGGACAAGGTGAAGGCTGGAGTGAATTAGAAAGCTCCCCAATGACAAGAGCAGGGTCACAGTTCTCTGGGGCCCCACAGTGCTTGTGTTCATAATACAGCTTCTTTGCTTTCGGCCAGAATGTCTCCACCGTGGCACTAGTGCCTTTGCTCACCAGGCATGCAGCAGTTTGAGAGCCCCTGAGGAGCTGCCTCTCAACAATTTCTATTTCTTTTTACCTACAGACCGACCACATTTTGAGATTCTAGCCCCTCTAGAATTTTTGCTGCTTTTCTTTCTTCTCTACCTTTTCTGTCTCTGAGATTGCTTCTGTATACAAGACTAATCACAGACCCTGCTGCCCTTTGCCTTCTCCAAAATAACCACACCGGGTATTTGAAATATGAAGGGGTTCCTGACGTCCTAAGTAATTTTGTTGAGAAGCCACAGACTAACAAGCTCTTTGAGACAATCAAATATTTAAGCAAGTCTAAAAGTTCTCATAAAAGTTATTTAATTTAGTTTAATAGTTATTTCATGGATTTAAAAATATTTATTTAAAATATTTACTCAAGCAAAACTATGCATTGTAGAAATAATGACTATCCTGTGTTCTTTACCTTTCTCCAGACCTTCCAGAGGCTTTCGGTATTGTTGGGAGTGAAATTTGGAAGCTTCCATTTTAGCTTACCTCTTCCTTGTCATTTTTTTATCTCATGTCCCCTCTATTTGACTGTTTCTGTCATTAAGACACCTTAACTTGAATAATAACAAATATTAATAAATCATTTAGTAAAATTACTTTCTTTTCATCTACGGGTCTCAATGCTAGGCCTTTTGTGGTGGGGAAGGGACTGACATTAATTAGACTCATTCCGTGCTGGTTTCTCCCTGACTTTTCCCATCTTAGTTTTTGTGCAGCTGTTTGTGAGGGCAGTGGTGGTTATCAAATGTGCAGTGAGGTAAGAGTTCTGCATTTCTAACCAGTGTCCTCACTGACTCCCATCATGACCTGAAATCTTTTCACACCATGCTCAAGACTGCCAGTCTCTCTTCAGCTTATTTCTATACAGCTTGTCTTTTCTTCCACAGATAATTCTGTTGAAGTAAACTTTTCCCTTCAGTGATACCAAAACCAGGACCTAATACGTGGTGCCCCCGTGTAGTTTCCTCCAGAGAGAAAGGGAAGTTATTGTGGTTAAGACTTGACTTTGAGTCAGTCTTTCTTGGTTGAAATCCCATTTCTTCTGCTCAGCAGATCTGTAGCCTCATTCAAATAACATAACATAAAATTAACACAAAAATATTGATTAATTTAAAAAATACTGTGCACATGTTTTGCATCAAACACTGGTCTAGGCATCAAGGACACAGCATGAGCTAAATAGAACAAACCTTACTGTAGATGTGAAGACTACATTCTAGAAGCAGGAAAGAGAGATATGAATAAAACCCAAAAGTGAACTGTACAATGTGCTTAAGGGTAAAATTTCAACAAAGGGAAAGGAATATGGAAAATGAGAATGGGTGATCACCCTTCTTAAAAGCATCAGAATGGTCTTTCCTGGAAAAATGAGATCTCATGACCGGGCTCATACCACAACCTAGAGTTTTGTGACTAAATGAGCTAACAGAACAATGATCTGTCACTTAAGTGTAGTACTCTGTAAACATTAGATACTACTTCTGTGCGATGAGTTGCTGTTGTTTATTCTTATTGTTTTAAAGCCCATATCCAGAAAAAGCACATTGTAATTTATTTAACCTGCCACTTATTGTGAGGAATCTATTACAAAGAATGCTTGTACTGAACAATTTGTGCACGTCTGTGATCACACAGACTATGTCTCTGCTTTCCTGGGTGTGAAAGCTGGAGGGAAAGGCACGGATATTTTATACTCTGACCACTAAAAAACCAAACTGCCGCTGCTGAGCTGATTCTCACTCAGCGACCCTGCTACCAAATCTTCACAAATGAGCCAACAGATAAAATCAAAACAGAAAAGCTGTCACATATTTAATTTTACTCACATCCACAGTCAATACCCATGATAGCTGCAGCAATAAAGAAATAAGATTTTTTTTCAAAGGTTAAATTTGGGAAACTGCCATCAATGAGCCCTTTAAAGTGCTAGAGAACCAGGATGTCCAGTTAAAAACGCAGATGCGCTTGATCCAAGCCATGGTCTTTTCAGTTGTTTCACATGCACGTGAAAGTTGCATGACAAATAAGACCAAGAAGAACCAATGCCTTTAAATCAGCCTATTGACCTCCTAACCCGTTTGAGGTTTCTGTCCTGTGTCCGAGGCTACAAAACCCACAAAGGCACATGATTGAAGACTGATGTTGACATTTAATTCCCATTCTCTCCCAGTTTCTTCCAACAGCAGAAAACAAGGCATAGACAGGGACCTGAGAAACGGATATGTTAACCTCCCTTGACCCTCCTGATTCTAGGCCTGGGACTACGAATCCTTTTTCTAATTTTGTTAAGGATTGCAGAGACAAGATTTTGGAATGAAAAACAAAGAAGTTTTGTCTCTTAATACAACTCTTTCAAAATATTAGACTTGGTTTTTTCAGAACATTGCCTATTATAAATACACGTAACACATTTAGAAATTCATCCTTCTCTTTGTTCTGGGCTGCATCTGCCTCCACTTCAAAGTCATCAAAACCACAGCTACGGTGCTGGAAGGACTTGTGGCAACAAGAAAAAGGGGGCAGTTAAAATCTCTGTCCTTTCTCAGTACATCTCTACCACCTGTGCGAGGAACCTTGGAGGTGCAATTGTTAAGTGCTTGGCTGTTAACCAAAAGGTTGGTGATCTGAATCTCCTCAGTGACTGTGGGAGAAAGACCTCAGGGTCTGCTCTGCTCCTATAAAGATAACAGTCAAGAGCCCCTAAGAGGAGATGCTACTGTTATACGAGGGTCAGTGAGTCAAAAAACAGCTCAAAGACAAAGCACCACTGTCACCACCACTATATCATATATCTCATAATGATACAGACTTAATACTCCAAATCAGTTTCCATTTTTAGTTGGATGGATTCAGAAGGAAAATTAATTTCTGTGTGGTACCAAAAGCCCGTGAGATCTATACGTGTTGTAAAAAGCCCTTCACTCTTTCCTCACATATGTAGGACTTGAATATAAAAGCCAGATGATACAAAACTGAAGGAAGCAGAAACAGAATATTGGTATTTGTTTGGTATATATTCCAGAAGGATTTTACTATCAAAGTGGCATCTGGGGAATAACTATGTAAAGAATAAGCTAAAGTTTACTGAAATAAAAAGAAAAGGAGTCAAAGCAATTGAAGATGAAAATCCACTGGAAAGAAAACAAGCCTAGCTGTGTGCTTAGATCCCAGATTCACAAATGAGGACCCATGCTTTCTCTGTTCTGTCCCCAGCTGGAGAGGCAGCTAATAATGCAGAACGAGATGAGAGAAAGACAGATGGCCATGCAGGTGGCGTGGTCTCGGGAATTCATCAAATACTTTGGGACCTTTTTTAGCATTGCAGCCATCTCTCTAACAGCTGGGTATGTTATTATTTACATTTTTCTTGAATAATTTCTTTTCCTTATAGTTTCCAATTTCCTATCATTCTTATTGCTAAAAGTAGAATTTTTGTTCATGCTATGTATATAAAAAACAAAGTAACCTTCATATAGTGCATCTATAAACAAAGTAATCCCTCCTCATAGTTCTGTCTGAACCCTATAGAATCAGGTTAGATTTAATTCTGCCTTTAGTTTCTTAGGGAGATCTGATGACCTGGTCCATAGGAAACAACCCTATTAACCCAAAGGTTGTGTCTTTCTGGTGGTTCAAATCCACAGTAGCTCTGAGGGAGAAAGATGGGCAGTCTCCTCCCAGTTGCGTGGCATGAGCTACCAGCCAGTTCTGCCTTGACAAATGAGTCTACAGTTCTTAGATTTCTTCTTTCCATCATTTTTTTAAAATTAGAGCTAGGACTTCCTTGTCAACCAAACAGGGTAAAGCCTGTACAAATGTATCACTACACTCCCTGAGAAGTAGACATAAATCATTGTCCACTTCAGAAATGAGAATTCTGAGCCTCAAAATCAAATATGCATGAACAAGTGATAGGCTCTGGCCTTGAGAACAGTGGAATCTGGTGACCAGCCCTGGGGAAGAAAATCCTATCTCTAGAAATTGCAAATGAATTAAGTAATTATGTGATGGAAGCTATTTATCTAAATAACAAGGGGTTTTTTCCCTTCAAGTATAGAGATACATGTTTACAGGTTGTTCTTTTCTTACATCAGAGCAATAAAAAAGAAGCAGCCAGCATTCCTCTTTCCTGTTGTGCCACTGGGCTTCATCCTCACCTACCAGTATGATTTGGGCTATGGAACCCTCCTACAGAGAATGAAAGGTACGTGTCTGGGAACCCAGCGTGTGCACTGCCTGGCCCAGGGGGCACTCCCTCTGACCTCTTCAGCCGTGAAGATTCTGGGAAGACCTTTGCCCTGAGTCTCCCAAGCACCACACCTTCCCTCCACCCTTACAAACTAGTTTATTGGAGTCAGTTATAGGAACCAGTTACTAATTTCTCAGAGATTTTTCTAAGTTATGTTAATGATATTATTAAATGTTAAATTATAGAAATTTATATAAAAGATTTAATTTTTTTAAAAAAAGCCAAATACTCAGAAATCATGACTATATCATTATTTTACTATTTACTACAAGGAGATTCTATCGATTTCTTCTGTCCGTATGGTGCTTGCTGGGTGCCATCGAGTCAGAAATGACCTACAGCTGACCCTCCAGCAGGTTTTCAGGAGAGTAAACTGCATGGCAGGAGACTGCCCATCCTTCTTCCGTGGAGCAGCTGGTGAATTCGAACCACATGCCTTTGGGATTACAGCACAATTTCTTGCCACTAGGCCACCAGAGCTCCCTAACTGTATGGTAGAAATATAAATGCCATATGCAAATACAACAAAGTACAGCTAGAACTCTGCCTTCGAGGCTGTCTCGTTGGCAGCCTGCTTTATTCTTCCGTTGACTGTCTATGCCAGGGGTCATAAACTGGCTTGCCGGTCAGCTTCCCAACAGTTAAAGTGTTCTTGGAACATAGCTGTGCCTATTCACTTCTATGTTTTGTGTATGGATACATTTCTGCTGTGGTGACGGAGAAGTTACTGCAACAGTAAGGCATCAAAAGCAGAACTTCCTCTCTGCCTCTTTACGAAAGCTTGCTAACCCACAGTCTAGACATAAGACACTTATGAACAAAATGTGGGTTAAACGCAAAGGAAGTGAGGCTGCTGTCACCGCAGACCTCGGTGTGGATGGGTGTGAAGAGAAGAAAAACTTGAGAACATGTTCTCTGAATATTTAAAAGCTGTTATCTGATTCGGTAAAAAAGCTGTTTATACTCCAATATGTGAAGTTCCAGCACACACCTTCATTGTTTCACCTCTGTCCTACTCACTAATGTCAGCAAAAGCATCAACCATCGGTCACTGTGGGAAGTAGGTTCTCCTATCAATTGTAACCATAGTTTGCTTACAAGTATAAGAGCTCAGCAAAAATCACTGAAAGCATCCCCTCAGAATCAATCTGCTGTACAGAACTTCTAAGAATACCATACATATCGGCATTGGTAACTTGTGTGCTGTGCATACTCTCAATCAGTAAAGTAACTTTCCTGCGTAATGAAAGGGAGCATTGGTAGCATAGTGGGATGCTGCACTGCAATCCCAAAGGCACACAGTTCAAATCCACCCTAGATTTGCTCCATGGGAGAAGGATGGGAAATCTCCTCTCCTATGATCTACTGCCTCTGAAAACCTGCTAGACTCAACGGCACACAACAACAACAACATAAAAATACCCCGTCCTTTGAGAGCTGAACTTCCACTAGCACGCTGTGCTCACTCTACCCCAGCTCTTACCACGCTGGGTGAGGCAGCTGTTGCCGCTACAGCCTCTCGTGTCCCAGGGAACTAGAGTTGCCTGTCAGTGCAGGCTGGCCCTCAAATTCTCACCACTATTGGGAGGATTCATGTCCCCGCTTTTCAAACCTCCCCCCCTGCCGACCATGTTGCCTCAAGCCATTACTTTGCCACCTTTACCTGCCTTGCGATGGGCCTTGCTCTATCCCTGAGGCCTGTAATAAATCTGTTACCAGGTCTGGGACTATAAAGCAGGTTATCATATTTCTTCTTAAATATTCCCAGAAATACATTTTCCATATAGAACCCAAGTTAAAATGTCAGTGGGAGCCAGCATCACTGTTATCTATATTTCACCCAGGGAACCCTGCTGCAGGCCCAGCCTCTTGGGCCTGTGCCGTGTACAGGGAAAGGGTCATAGGAAAGTCTGAATGTCGCTCTTCCTCCACACAACCCTCAAACCCAACTAATATGAAGCATCCCGACTGGCTCAAAGGGGGGAAAGTACTTATTGTAGTTTGTATCTTTCCTGTGTTTTAATATACCATCTTTTGTCCAGTAAAATCTTTCACATGACCTGTGTGTCTGCCTTTAGACTTCGTAACTGTTTCATCTGAGATAGACATCATTCTCCTGAGCAAAGGGAGTGACATACTGTGTGACTTGCAGATAAGCCTCCAGCAGTGGACCAGAGTTGTCCTTACAACAAGAGTCAGTTTCCTAATAAAGCTCCGCTGAACTCTCTGTCACTCTGCTAATTTCTGTACTTTATTTAAGGGGAAGCCGAGAACATACTGGAAACAGAAAAGAGTAAGTTGCAGTTGCCAAGAGGAATGATCACGTTCGAAAGCCTGGAGAAAGCCAGAAAGGAACAGAGTAAATTCTTCACAGACAAATGAAGTCACGGCTACCCGTGGAATCACCAAGCACAACATTTGTGGCATCAATCATGGTTTTTATAGTTTTCTAAATGTGTGAGATTTTTCTATAATGAATTTTATGGTAAAATATTAAAATGCAGAATAAATTCTGTTAAACAATTTTAAAATATAATATTTAACATAAATGTATGGTAGTACTTTAAATGCCTTTAAGACGTGTGTGTGTGTTTTATAATGTAGATATCTGAGGATAAAAATTCTCGTGTTTTTAATTCCTTGAGATAAATGTCCCATTGCCCCTTCTCTGTCACACACTTGTGCCATCACATGCATCTTCCAGAGATGCTGCTGTTTGGATTTGTCAGTGTGGCCTGTCCCTACATAATGGAAGATGCTGACCAAATCCTGTCCTGGATGTTTTGTACCAGCAATCCCATGAGACAGAAAATATTTTCTTGATGTGGAATCTGAGGGACAGAGGGGTTGAATCACTTCTCAGGGTCAGATATGGGAACAGAAGAGCTGGGATTTGAACACAGACACTTTAGCTCCTGTGTCTGAATGTTAAAATGACAACAAAAAATGCAGATCATACTTCATCCCTGGCATGCTGGGACAGCTGTGAGGGAGGGGAAGTGGAAGCTTTCAGATAAGACTCGACGTGTAGTCAGAGCCCAGTAAGGAGCAGGAGGCAGCTGACTACTCAGAAAAGGACTTGATCAAGCTGAAGAGAGCCTTCTCTATGTCCTAGAAGCAGGAGTGTATGTTTTGGAACAGGACTTAACTGTAAAGTTAGGATAGAGGCTGGGGATGGAGGACGTGAAGGGGATGATGAGACCTTTGCCTGAGGTGGAGGAAGAAAGGACAGACCCTCAAGTAAGGGTTAGGGAGGGCTGGAGACTCTGCCCCCCTCAGTTCTGCCACTACCATCCTTGGAGAAGCCCTTTCAGCTATTTGCTAGTGAATCAAGGTGTGGTTCTTGGGGTCCTCATCCAGACATGAGGGGGAAGGAAGCGGCAGGCTATCATTGTGTCCAAACTAGCAGGTCCTGTCTCAAAAGGGTGGCCAGAATGTGTCCAAGTCGTAGCTGCTATTACCTGACTGATGGAGAAAGTTGGGAACTGACCTTTGGGAGGCCCCTAATTGGGAACATCTTAAACCCAAGGGCAGAGATATGGCTGACAGACTGTCAGATTCTAAAATAGGAAGTCTTGACCACTGAGGCTTGCTTAAACCAAGCCAGTTTTCTGTGGAAAGGGGAGGGAGATGCAGAGGCCCCTGGGCATGGCTGCATGGACATTCTAGAATCCCACAGTAGAGTTAGACAAGACTTAGTGGAGATTCCTCTGCATGCAAGAGACAGGCTGTTCGTGGATACACCCGCATGAATGACTGGGGCATAAAAGCATACTGGCTATGCAGTATTTGATCGGATAAATTAGTCTTTCATGAGAAGGAGAGATTGCCTAAAAAATGGTCAGTACAGGATAGAAGGAGAATTGATGCCTTTGAGCTGTGGTGTTGGAGAAGAGTATTGAATGTACCATGGACTGCCAAGAAAAACAGATTCATCCGGGAGAGGGTTAAACCAGGCTACTCCTTGGAGGCAAGGATTCTGGGGCTTCGTCTGACACACTTTGGACATGTAAGGAGAGACAGGTCTTTAGAGAGGGACATCATGCTGGGTAGAGTAGAGGGACAGCGCAGGAGGGGAAGACCCTCTATGAGGTGGATTGATTCAGTGACTGGGGTAATCGGGATGGGAGTGTCAGAGGCAATGCGACTGGCACAGGATAGAGCAGGGTTTAGGGCTGTTGTACATAGGGTCGCTATGAGTCGCAAATGACTCGACGACACATAACAACAACAACAATAAACCAGTGAGCTCTATGCTCACAATCAAGCCCTAAAGCTTCTTGAAGGACAGGAAGGCACCATTTACATGGACTCAAAATATTCCAGGAGGATTATACAAACCTTTGGAACAATTTTGAGAGAATGAGAGCTCATAAACAGCAAAAGAAAGGCATTAGTTTATGGAACGAGGTTAGGCAGGTCCTGGAGCCTACTGCTCCCACGAAAATAGTAGTGGTTCATGTAAAAAGACACTAGAAGGGAAGGAGCATGGAAGCTGTCAATAACCAGCTCGCAGACCAGATGGCTAAATAAGCCTCTTTGGAGGGGGAGATCCAACTTCTCAGCCTAATACCCAATGTTCTGGAGATAACAAGATCCTGGTTCACTCTGGAGGTAAAGGGAGAATGAGCTAGGACGGGGGCCACTTGCACTGAAGATAGATGGACTCTCCCAGATGGTAGGCTGATCTGTAAGGAGGGAACTGCTGTCCTACTACATAGAGGGAACCACTGGGGCACACAGGCTGTGTGTGATGCAGTGCTAAGAACCATGGATGTGTAGGCACCTACAGAACTGCCAAGCAGGAAGGGGAGGGCCTGCATAACCTGTCGGGAGATCAGTAAGAAGGTACTCCGAAGGCATCCTGTGGGTGGAAGGCCTCCAGAACTGAGACCATTCCTAAGTATTCATGTAGATTTCACAGAACTGCCCAGAGTAGGGAAATGAGATACCTGTTGGTAATAGTGGATTATTTGTCTGACTGGATTGGAGATCCCCTGTGACCTCTACAACCACTAGTGGCTTTATCAAAGTAATCTTAAAACAGGTAATACCATATTTGGTCTAGTAGAGAACTTTGACTAAGATAACAGAAGCTACTTTATTTCCAGAGTGCTGGAGGGAATAAATGATGGAAAGTTTAGATATCAACTGAGATTATCACATTCCCTCGAAAGCTCTCTCCTCCTGAAAAGTAGACATGAATTGAACTTACACAGCAGATCACAAAGTTAGTCTTAGAAACCAAATTACTGTCGACCAAGTGCCTCCCCATAGCCCTACTCCAAATGGCTCCAAGAAAGTACCTAGGATTATCCCCTCATGAACTGTTGTACCGGTTCCTTTACTGGGTAGGGTAACAGACCTGCTCATCATGAAACCAAGGACCAGTTTCTGAGAAAGCATGTGCTCATTCCTCTACTCTGTCACCTCTTAGGTTAAAAGGACTCCTGGCTAAATGCCTTCTCTTAAATTTGTTGCTCATTACTTTTGGCCAAGAGACACGGTGCAGATTGGGAGAGGATGAAATTGATGGATGGGACCATCTAAAGATTAAATCCCTGTGTACATCAAAAACATTTTCCAACAGGGGGAAAAGAAAACTTACTGAGGAAAAACATTTGGCAATGCCATGCTGAGGACTGTGACAGTGATGTGCCAGTCGTGGTAATGGGCACCCATGGTGGACAGTGTTGGCTGGAGCTTCCCGACTAAATCAAGCCTGGAAGCAGGAGCGGCATCCACTTCCGAAATGGCTTGCCTCCGGAAACTCTATGTACGAACAGTGCTCAGGCCGTTCGTTCATAGGGTCGCCATGAGTCGTCTACGACTCAACAGCACTAAAAAACAACAACAATACCATTCCAGACAAGGGTCTCATATCAAAAGTTTACAGAATCCTACAGGGCCTCCACAAGAACAAGATTGATAGCACCATTACAAAATGGGCAAAAGACATGGAAATAATTTTCACAGTGGAGATATTCGGATGTCCAACAGACACATGAAGAAATGCTCAAAATCACTAGCAATAAGAAATGCAAATCAAAACCACAATGAGATACCATCTCACCCTAGTAGCAGTAGCAAAGTTTAACAGGACACCAAGTAATAAACGTTGGAGAAGATTTGGTGAGCTAGGAACTCTAATACACTGTTGGTAGAATTGTAAACTGGTTGGATGACAATTTGGCTTTTCCTCAGAAAGCTGAACATAGAAATTCCATGTGACCCCATCTATTCCACTGCTTGGAGTATACCCCAAGAAAATGAGAACTGAGGCACAAATGGAGACATGGAAACAGCCCAAATGTTCAACCACAATGAAACGGATTGAGAAATGATGGTACATTCACAGCATGCAGGAGCAATGATTTTATAAATCACTGCTTAACTTGGGAGGGACTGGAGAGCAGTCTCATAAGGACAAATGCTGTATAAGACAATTACTGCAGAACATATATGAGGATCCAAGGCGGGGGAGTCAGGGGTGAGGATGGGGGTGTTGTTAATCATAGGACAGCACAATATGACGGAGGGAGGGGTGGTAAAGGAAATGGGAAAGATCTGCGTGAAAAACAATGTACATGAACTTTTAAGTAAACCAATATAAACTCATTATTTTTTAAAAGACATCATAGTCGGAAGGGCAAAGGGTCAGAGAAAGAGGGGAAGATCATTAATAAGGCAGATTGACACACTGATTGTAACAATGGGCTCACACAAAGCAGAGATGGTGAGAACGTCACAGGATACGACCAGATCTGTTGTTGTTCATAGGGTCGCTATGAGTTGTATGGTTACCTAACAACAACAATCATCTGTGAGAAAATAACTTTCTGTTTGTTAAAGAAGAGAGAGAGAAAGAGGGGCAGGGGAGAAAGACAGAGAGACATGGTGCTGATGAAAACATGGAAAGAAGATAAACGGCCAAAGGGGAGAGCCTTGGCTAAACTGGCGACCAAGAAGGCCATTCAGACCCCTGAGAACAGGTGGTCTCACTACAGCCGAGTGAGGGGTCCAGTTGAAAAGAACTCTACTCAAGAGAAGAGAAGTAGTAATCAGTGGGAGACACTTCTTTCACTTAGCATCTCAAGGAAACTCTGTAAAGGGTCTGACAAAATGCCTCATTATCATTCTACTGAATATGGTGGACCTGGAAATTAACCTGGCAAATGTGATAATGGTTAGGCATGGTGGACAGTGTTTGGTGGAGCTCCCCAATTAAAACAAGCTTGGAAGCAGGAGTGACAACCACTTCTGAAATAGCTTGCCTCCGGAAACCCTATGAACCTGGAGAAACAATGAAAGCTATACAAGTGTTCAGGTCTTTCGTTCATAGGGTCGCTATGAATCATCTATGACTCAATGGCACTTAACAACAATAAGGTGTATTGTTACAGTAGGGATCTTCCTAATTGTACTAACCATGGTGGATTTGGAAATTAACCTGGCTAAGGTAGATTATTACTGCAGGGATCTTCTAGGCAGCCCTCTCCTACAACCAGCCATTCAGATTTTGGCAACTGGTCAAATTCATGGTCAGTGCGACCAGAACAGTGTCCCCTCAGAACATCAAGTTAGAGACTTACCAAGTTTTAGCCTCCAGGAACCTAGAAAACCTGAGTAAGCCTTCACATGCAGGTACGCATCTTTCCCCCAAGTCACCAGGGCCAGGGCACACTTCAGCCAGTCCTTGTTCCAACTGGGATGGTATGTTCTGGATCACTTAAGAACAAGGATGGACTGTTCACTCACTTTGGCTGCCTCTTTGAGGGCATGCATTAAAGAGCAAAATTAATTTTTCTAAAAGACTCCTTCCCACCAACAGTCAAAACCTCTCCAGTACATCCCAGTTCTTATCTTAACTGATGCCCTCGCCACCAGCGATAAGGAATTCCTAGTAGCAACCTGAGTCTATGGGATGAGTGCAGGCATCTCTGTAAAGGGCAGTGGGGCAGTTTGCACTGTGATTCATCAACTTCTGGATTCCAACACTTCCCTTTTTCTTAGAACTCTTCAGGAATGAGGATGAGTGCAGGCATCTCTGTAAAGGGCAGTGGGGCAGTTTGCACTGTGATTCATCAACTTCTGGATTCCAACACTTCCCTTTTTCTTAGAACTCTTCAGGAATGATCTCAAGAAAGTAGAAGTAATTGAAGTAAAAGACTTCTGGCAGACGTCAAAGCAGACACACGATATGGCAATGTGAATGCTTGGGTGGAATGCATCAGAAATTCAGTGCAAGCTCTCAAAAAAAGTGACTGCCATGTCTTCGCAGCTGGATGATCACAGGCACAGGTGATCTCATTTGGGACTCACCTCCAAGAGGAATGCCCTGCATGATGGCTCTGTTCCAGGAAAAGGCTGCTCGGGGAAAGGACCCGTGTAAAAGCTTGTCTTTTTTGTTCTTTGCCCTCCTCTGTAGCGCCAAGAGCGATCCCTGTTATCCACACGGTGATGAACCACTCTTCAAGGTGGAGAGGAGAGTTCACAGTACACATAGGAAAAGGAAGGGCCTGCAATCACATCCGAAATGTCACTGGTGAGTCTAGCAGTAGCAGGATGTCTTCTCCACGTTGATGGGACTGTGGTGGGAGATAGTGTCTCAGTAGGTACTAATGAGGCTGGATATTTAAAGTACTGCAGGCCTCCAGAGAGATGGCTGGGGTCTCCAAAGGTATGGGGTGATATTTTGACATTCTACATGGTCTTTGCAATCACTTGTTATGTATCAGAGAGCTGGATAATGACTAGGGATGACAGAAGGAGAGTTGATGCCTTTGAGCTGTGGTGCTGGAGAAGAGTATTGACTATACCATGGACTGCTCAGAGAACAAGCTCATCCTGGAGAGGGTGAAGCCAGGCTGCTCCTTAGAAGCAAGGATTCTGAAGCTTCATCTGACATACTTTGGGCATGTTGCAAGGAGGGATTAGTTCTTAAGAGAGGGACGTCATGCTTGGGAGGGTGGAAGGACAGCACAGGAGAGGAAGACCCTTGATGAGATGGGTTGATTCAGTCACGGAGGTAATGGGGATAGTTGTATCAGAAACAGTAAGATTGACAAGGGATAGAGGAGGGTTTAGGGTTGATGTACACAGCGTTGCTATGAGTCACAAGCTAATCAACAGTCCCTAACAATGACAATGATGACAACTGTTAGACAGCCATCTTCCCCCGGGATCCAAAAGTAAAGGTTTCAAGGTGTGGGAGGCTTGCACAGTGAGTTTCTGAGAAATAACAATTGTCCGGGCCTCCTCAGGCAGGAGCGCGTCACTGGCTACTACTCTTAAGCAATAAAGCCAGCCCGCAGCCACGGAGTCTAGACTTTTTGAAAGATACTTAGGGCTGATCATTTGGACTAGGGCTCCGATGGCCACCTTCCCCTTTTTTATCAATATATAAAAGGCTTATTATAATTAGGAATCCCTACAGTGGGAGCCCAAAGAGGCCTCTTTTAGTTGGACAAATGCTTGCTCACATTTAGGAGCCCCTTCTAGGACATCTACTTCCCTCCTCCCTTTTAATTGATCATATAAGGGTTTGTTTAACTGTAAATCGAGGAATCTCGATCTTGCAGTACCCAGTCATCCCCCAAAATTACTGGGGAAGATAGGCTGACTCTCATTTCAACTCGTCCTGGGAGATTTCTACTTTTATAGGCCAACATGAATCTCACAAAGTGAACTGTAGGGAGGCAAATTTGGGTCTTTCCTTTGAACACGGTAAAACCTTCTTCACCTAAAATGTCTAAGGTGCTTTGAGTATACTGAACCGAGGCCTCATAGGATGGACTACATACTAGAAGGTCATCTTTAAGATCTAGTACCATGAAATAGGTAAAATTGGCCTATTAAAGTATAAAGTTTAGGAACCACAGGATATAAAGGCATAACAATGTCATTTATTGTTCTCAAGTCCTGGACCAACTTTCACTTACCATTAGGGATTTTAACAGCAAGGATAGGAGTGTTATAAGGAGAAGTCATTTCAGTAATTAGACCAGCTTCTTTTAATTGTCTAATTATAGAGACCAGACCACTCCAGGCTTCTAGCCCTAATAACATCATGACCGGAGAAAATAAAATCTTATTCTTTACACTAAACATAAGATCTCTCCCTAAGATGGGTGAAAGAGTTTCAGAAGTTACCAAAAACTTTTAAGAAAACAACCCGGAAGTCCACATGCAAGGCAGAGGGGGAGTAAAGACCTGCTTATGAGGTTTTCTGTCAATTCCAACAACTAAGAAATAGAGGGAAGAGAGTGGACCTAAGAAGGCTTGTAGGACCAAATAAGAGGCTCCTGTGTCCAGGAGAAAACGGATACACTTACCGGTAATGTCCATGCTCACGCATAGCTTTTCTGGGAGAATCTGAATTGTTGAAGTGTCCTCCTTTGTTGCCGGCTGGGAGTCAGGGCCTCATCAATCCTCTGTGGACTCAGCCATCAGGACCTGACGTGGGCAGCCCTTAGCCAGGTGTCCTTCAGATCCACACTTAAAACAAATGAGCGGGAACTTCCTCTCCACCCCCTTGCATACCTGTGGTTCTCGCAGGTGACACTCTTTACTAAAGCGGCTCAGCTGTTCACAATGGAAGCAATTCTGACTCCCTTCATTACCTTTGGGTGACACTGACCATTTATTAGTAAGACTTCCTTTTCCTGACACAGGCCGAAACTGGCAGCAATGACTGTCCCAATAAATTGGGCCTTATCTGGTCTTGTCTCTCTCCCTCTAGATCTCAGTGGTTAAAGACAGTGACTGTGTTTTAAAAGTTCATGTGGATCAATCTGAAGTCTCACTGTTTTGCATTGAAGCTTCCTTCTACTATCTGGGGCCACCTGGTTTATAACATGAGTATTTAGAATTACTCTGCCTCCAGGGCTTTCAGGATCTAAGTTTGTGAACTTTTTCACAGCTTCAACAAGTGCTTGATTTTCTTCTTTGTTCTGAGTAATTACTGTTATTTTTGAGTAATCAATTTGTTTAATCTGAATTTCCCCCATGCCTTCAAGCAAGCAAGTCTGCATGTAGTCCCGTGTAGTCCATTCCTGATTTCCCGGTTGGCCAAGATGGTAATTCCAGTCGGGATTTTGGCCTGGGATTGCAGTTGCCTCGACTACTAGCTGAGGGCTATTGATGTGGAACCTGTGTGCTCTGTGACTCACTGTGGCCACTATTCTTGATTTTTCCTCAGGAGAGCAACAGAAGGACAAGAGGACCAGTAGGTCTTTCCATGTTATATAAAAAATAGAAATAATTTTCTGGAATACATCAATAAATTTTCCTGGATTAGTAGAAAAAGATTCTAATTTTTCCTTGCATTTTACAAATCACTTATTAACTATGCACCTGCATAGTCCCACTTCTTGAAGAGGAAGCAAGGGAGGATACATTTAGATGGGTGGGCTAGGAGCCGATGGTAGTGTCACCTCAGTTGAGGGCGTATCTTTATTAAAGATGTCTTTGTTCAAAGTGGCTTTCAAGCTTTCTAGAGGGTATCCTGCTGCTGGGGTAGTTAACGTCTCTCGTGATTTTCTCAGAGTAAGCATTTCTCCAGTGGTTTTATAAGGAACATGTTCCCCAAGCTGCTCAGAGACCTATTAGCAGGGCTTTGCTCCAGGAGGCCAGCAAGACTCCTTATATCAAGTTGCCCTCAACTAGTTTGTAGGGTTTTCTATTATCTGGTTGCCATATGCTTGGACATAGCCTAAGTCATGCACTGGGAACATGCTCTTTTAAATCCACAGTATATAGTAACAAATAATCTGAGGTAGGGTTATCAGGCAGTGAAAGGCTCAGTGGTCTCTGTTTGTATTAATCCCTCAGCTGTTTCCCATTTCCAAGGTACCAAGCTCTCTGAAGTTGCTGTCTGGGATTGAACCTTAGCTGAAGGGAACAGGACAGCAGCTGGGTTTGATTAAAGAAGCTATTTCCCACTTTTTCTGTCCTCAGATTCCTGCCATTTGATCCAGGTAAGTTAACTTGACTTGAAAAGAGAAGGAATTAAAAGGCATGCAGACCCACAAAGAGATGGCTAAAATAGCACTATATGCAGATGATAGGCCGCTCTGGTGGCCTAGAGGCAAGAAGCTATGCTACAATCTAGAAGGCACACAGTTTGAGGCCACCAGCTGCACCTTGGGAAAAGAATGGGCAATCTCATCCCGAGTGAGTAACTGCCTCTGAAAACGCACTGGAGGGTCACCTAGGGGTTGGTCCCAAATCCGTGGTACACAACAACAATATGCAGATGATATGATATTGTACACTGAAAACCCAAAGTACTCAACACAAAACCTGTTAGAGCCAGTGGGCAAGTAGGGTGGCAGGATAGAGAGCAATATCCAAAAATCAATGTGATTCCTCTACAATAACAAACAAAACCCAGAGAAGGAAACTAAGAAAGCAATACCATTCACAACAGCCAACAAGAAATTGAGATACCTGGGAATGAATTGAACTAGAGACCAAAAAAGACCTGTGCAAAGAAAACTAGAGAACATTTCTGCAAGAAACGATAAGAGATTTAAATCAATGGCTAAATGTTCCCTCTTCATGGATAGGAAGACTCAATATTTTGAAAATGACATTCCTACCAAAAGTTATCTACATGTTAACACAATGCCAGTACAGAGACCAAGTTAATTTTTCAAGGAAAGCAAAAGGGAAGTTGTCAAGTTTACTTGGACAGGAAAGGGACTCCAAATACACAAATCACTTCTGATTAACAAAAGTGAAGTGAGAGGTATAGCACTCCCTGACCTCAAAAACTACTACACCAGCAGTAGTTACCAAAACAGCATGGTCCTGGTACAACAGTAGGCACACAGACCAATGGAACAGAAACGAGAATCCAGAAATGCAACTGGCTAACTATGTTCAACTGACATGCTACAAGGAAATAAACCCTATCAAATGAGGGAACGACAAACTCTTCCACAAATGGTGCTGGCAAAACTGCACTGCTACTTGAAGAAAGCTGAAACAGGATCCACATCTCACACCACACACAAAAATCAAATCAAGGTGGATCAGAGAACTGGGAGTAAAGACCAAAACCAAAAAGGTCATAGAGAAACTGGGGCCAAGAATAGAAGGCCTAATCAATGGTATAAAAAGAATGACAAATACAGCCTGAAACGCATGATCTGAAGAGGATAAAATTGATGAATGGGACCTTCTAAAGATTAAATCTCTGTGGTCTTCAAATGTGTGCCTTTTCCAACAGGGTGAAAATAAAATCTATGAACTGTGAAAAAAAAATTGGCAATACCTCATCAGACAACAGTCTCATAAGAGTTTACAGAAGATTCTTGCATCTCCAATAGAAAACATACTATAACTTAATTACAAATTGAAAAAAGACTTTTCGCAAAGCAAGACATATGGATGGCCAACAGACACTTGAAGAAAAGCTCAAGATCATTTGCAACAAAAAAGATGCAAATCTAAATCACAATGAGATGCCATCTTGCCCCAGTAACAGTGGCAAAGTTTAGAAGGGCAGCAAGCAATGAAAGTTGAAAAGAATGTGGTGAGGTGGAAAATGGTACAACCACACTGGAAGACAGGTTGACATTTCCTCAAAAAGTTGAACATAGAAATTCCATATGACCTAGCTATTCGACTACTATAAATATACCCCAAGGAAATTAGAACAGAGACACAAATGGAGATTTGTACACTAGTGCTCAAATCAGTGTTACTCACCATCTGAAGAACATGGAAACGGCCCTAATGTGCAACCACAACAGAATGAATTGAGAAATTGCAGTGCATTTTCACAGTGGAATACTATGTAGTACTCAGGAGCAATGATTTGGAAAAAATACTACATAACGTTAGAGACACTAGGGAGCATTGTGCTCAATGACTGAACTCAGTCTCCTAAAAGAAAATACTGTATAAGACATTATACAGGAGCTCTGATGGCCTAGTGGAAGAAGCTGTGCTCTAATCCCGAAGGCACGTGGTTCGAGGCCATAAGCTCCTCCACTGGAGAAGGGTGTGCAGTCTTCCTCTGTGTGGTTAACTGCTTCTGAAAACCCACCAGAGTGTTAGTTCCAGCTGGGTCAGTTCCAACTCTAAAGTACACAACTTGCAAAAATACAAGGATAACTAGTTAAACATATACCGGGAACCAAAGTGGGGGGAAGAGTGGGAACAGAGGGGTGCACATGTGTAGATGTGAAGCCACAGCGTTGCACAATTTGGTGTTTAAAGGGAGAGGAGGAAGAAAATGGGAACAATCTGGGCAAAAATACAGGGTAATAACGGGCAAGCTCCAATTAAGATTATTTTATAAAAGATAATGCATGAGAATGATTGTATGAAACACAATGAGAATGAATAGCGTGAAACACAGTGTATATGAACTTTGTAAGCAAACCAATTAAAAAACACACAGAAAATCGTAATTCATGACGCTAATTGTACGAAACACAAGATGAATGAATAGTCTGAAGCACAATGTATGCGAACTTTGTAAGCAAACCAATGAAAAACAAGCAAACAAAACCTTAACTGATTTGGTTCAGCATTGTGGTTGTTGTTATGTGCCCTCAAGTACAGCTCTGAACAGGGTTCTAACCTGTGCCAACCTTAAAGTTTCTGCAAACCAACCCCCATTACCCAAGTCACTGAGTCAATGCATCTCATCGAGGTTTTCCTCTCTTGTGCTGTTCCTCCACCCTCCCACGCATGACGTCCCTCTCCAAGGACTGCTCCTTCTATGCAACATGTCCAAAATATATCAGACAGAGTTTCAGAATCTTTGTATCCAAGCAGCAGCCTGGTTTCACCCTCTCCTTGATGAATTTGTTTGTTTTCTTAGCAGTCCTTGGTACATTTAATACTCTTCTCAGCACCACAGCTCAAAGGCATCAATTCTCCTTCTCTGATCCCTAGTCAATGTCCAGCTTTCTGATGCATACCAATTAACTGTGAAGACTATCACCTGGACCAGATGTACCTTAGTCACCAGAGTGTAATCATGGTTCTTTTTTTTTTTTTTTTTTGTAATCATGGTTTTTATTCAGCATAGGCAAAGCTTTTCTTTTTTCCCTTTTTTTATTATTAAATTTTATTAGTTTTAATGAACATTTACAGAGATTTTGCGTTTTCATTCATTCATTGTTGCACTGTTTTCTCCACCCTCATCCCCAGTTCATTCTTCTTCCCCCCCATGTCTGTTTTAATTGTCCAATTGCCACAGTGCTTGTCAAAGCCAGTTCTGATTAATCTCCTTTGTCAGTGTGTCCCTTGCCATTCCCTATCACTCCTCCCTGAGACAGACTTCACCCTGATTCATAAAGAAAAGGGGATGGCGTATTCTCTTAGCTACTTCCTTAGGCAAAGCTTTTAAAAGCAAGATATTCAAGTACCATAAACACGGAAAAATTGGCATCAGTTGTAACAGGTGTGCAAACATTTCATTATGAACATCTTCTCAGAACAAACATTTCTTCAGAGGTTTCACAGGGAACATACTGCCAGTGTTGCTCAGAGTCTTAGCAGCAAAGCTCGGCTGCAGGAGGGCTGAAGAATTAGCCATTATCAATGTGCCCACAAGGCAGCCGACAGGTTGTTCTGATATCAGGCTGCCAGGCTCTATTCCTACCTTGGACATGTCCTAATTCACCCACTGGCCGTGTAAGAGTATTGGGAGAAAGAAGGCAGGACTTAAAAAACAAACCAACCTCAAAACCAGTGCTCACCAATAAAATCAACCACAAAAGCAACAAAATCTTGTCCTGTATCAGACTAGTTACAGAACGAAACTCTCAATATCACCACCTTTCTAACTTTTTTTTTTACCAAAAACATCTGGTATTTTATATAACTAGAAATTGAGATGACATATATTTTTGTACACATAAATTTAAACTTCATTTTTCTGTAGAATTTTAATACCAATGTATATTAAATAAGTGGATAAAAAATTTTAGAAATAAAGAAGCTGTATATCTAGATTGTGAGTGATATTTGACACAGGAAGATAAAGATAAATGCTTGTCAGTTAATAACAATCACATTTCATAAAAAAGGGGGAAGGGAAAGAAATTTGGGGACATTCAGGTGATTTTCATTTGTCCTTTAGAGACTCATGAAAATGTCCCTTGCAGTGCTGTTCATTTTGCAAATGACAATCTGGCGGCAATGACAGGTGACTCAAATCTTGAGAGCGTTATGTCTGCTAATATGTGCTTTCAAATACCTGACGTGTGGAGGTTAAAGATGGTGGATATTGATTACAGCAAAGAAACAAAACTATTTAGTACCTCTAAAGTACAGGATACTTCAAAAAAATGAATGTGTGGAACAAAGCATTGGTCACAGTCAATGAGTTTTCCGATTTGCTTCAAATTCTAAGTCTTTAATTAAGACAAGGCTTTTTAAAAAGGTGAGATTATTTTCACAACTATAGAATGCAATTAATGTTAACAAACTAGATATTAAAAAATTATACCGTGGTCTGTTGTGTATCTTTTCAACACTAACTGAAAGAAAAATGAAGTATGAGATAAAAACATGTAAGAATTCAAATCAAATGATGACTAACAGACTCTGAACATAAAGAGTTTAAGGCAAGAAAGGTGGAAAAGATCAAATGCAGCAGGGGATAGGCCAGTAGGTGAAAAAGGTTGAGGTGAACTGGAGTTGAGGAGGAATTTTCTGGAGGCTATGAGACAGGGAGGGGCAGAGGCTGTCTGGCCTCAAGGTCTGAGTGGGACCCAATGGCTATAAAAGCCTGGTGGAGCCAGGCAGGGGAAGCAGCCAGAAGCAAGGAGAGAGCTTTCCTGGAGAACAGCTGGAAACTAGGTCAAGGATGCCTGGTTCTCTCTTGTTCCAGCTGCTAGGAGTCTGGATACTTCTGGGCCAGCTTCCCAGAGCGCTCTCAAGCATGGACACAGGCGCAGTGAAGCTATGTGGTCGTGAATTATTACGCTACACAATCTGGCTCTGTGGAGACGTTACCTGGAGACGTTTCAGCAGAAGCATCATGTCCATCAGGGCTGCAGGTGAGACAATTTTCAAGCTCCAGGTCTCATTGCCCATCTGTGCTTAACCCCTAAACTCTGTTGTGCTGGTGTATAAATGTGGGCTTAGACTCTGTAGCTTGCAGTCGTGGATGATCTCCAGGGAACTTCACCAGAGAGCAAGTAAGTCTCATTGAAAAGAGCAGGTCATTTCATCACTAGGCAAACAGGAGGTTAGCAGCAATTATCAGACTGCTGACTGCTGCACACAGGAACAGAGTGGCTGCGCACTGTGTGTCATGTTGTAAAGGAAGGACACAGCTCTCAGCTGATCATCAAGCAGATGTGCTTACCCAAGCACATGTGGTCAGAACTCAGAGAACTCTGTGGACAACAGTTACTCTCCTCACTGTGATTTCCATCATTAAGATCTCCCCACATCTTGAACCCAAATGGGACAAGTGAGCCTTGCTTTCTAATTCTCTGAGCCAGTTCTTCAAGTGCAGTTGGACCACAGGGGAGGAAAGAAGAAGAAAAGGTCTAGGTGACTGAAAGAGAAACCCCAAGGAAGCAGATTCCAGAGAATCTGTTCTCTTCAGAAAGACTCTTCACTCATTCATTAGTAGGTCCTTTGGTGCTGCCCACATTTTGGAAATGGCTGTGGACTTCATTTCAAAGGGAAATCCCAGAATAGAGTACAAAACACATAGATCAATTTTTTAAATATTATGTTATTTAGGTTTCCTTACCTTTTCTTGTAGTCTTCTTCTTTTCACAGTTGGAGAAGACATGCCTCACTGCAAGCTGAAAGAGGCCAGCTCTGCTATTAAGAAGACCATGAAGAACTCGTTCCGGTTTATACCAATTTTTAAATTCATGTCTCCTTCTAATTCTTTTTGCTAAGATTGTCTGAATTGTGTGCCTATGATAAAATAGGAGAAGGCTATGTGACTGAAGGTTGTGTGAGGGCATGAGCCACATCTTCTCTTTACTTCATCACTTCTCTCTGGCACTTTAAACTGATATCAGTTGATCAATGTTCATCTCCACAAGAAGGACACAAAGAAGAGAAAGTGGGAGCTGGATGTGGCTGATTCCCAGTGGGCACTTGTGCCGATCCTAGGAGCCTGAGAACAGGTTCCTTCCTCAGGACACACAGCACACATCATGCATTAGTCAATACACTCAGAACATCAACTATTCTGTAAACCGAGCGACTTGCCCTCTAGTGTCAAGTATGACTGACTTGAAGGAGATACTGCGAAGAAGAGAAATTGTTAAATGGGTATTTGAGATCTTGGATCTCAGAGACCTATTAGATCAGAGAAGCTAGAAATTCTGCTTTTTTAAGTGTTTCCACAGAAGCAACCTAGCTCCGGGGAGCAGCTGATAGTCTAAAACAAGTTTTATACTTTCAAACCATTACTGTCCCTAAGTAAACGCTGGATGAAAATTTCTACTAGGAAAAATCCGCATTCATACACTTTTCGATGACCATTTCCTATGCCTTCAGAAACAAGAGTGCTTAGTTTCAAGTAGTCTAAAAGAGGTAACATGAGAGAGTTAGGGGGAGAGAGGACAAAGGAGTAAATGGTATAAAGCAATGTCTTGGCAATGCTGTAGTACTTTAAGCAACAAAAAAAACGAAGGGTTTTATGTGTGAGTACTAGACACTGGCTGACGCTTAGCTCCATGGAGGAAATGCTTTCCTTTATTCAGGCAAAATTCTGCAATGTTTCTGATGCTGCCTGGTATGAATATTTAACTCTCGTTTCTTTCAAAATTCAACAGACAGTGCATCACCACACATGTACGAAGATACAAAAATGTTAAGCACTATGCCGGAAGTCAATTCTAATTTCCCAGAGGAATTGTTGGCAAGTGAAGTATCCAGAGAACTGGTGGAGAATAACCCCAGTGAAGCAAGAGACAACAGTCCTTCAAAAGGAAAAGGCTTTGGCTTAGAAACGAATTTCCGAAAGCTGAGCAAGAAGGAGGCGGAATCTCTAAGTGACAAGTGTTGTAAACGGGGGTGCAGTATAGGAGAACTGGGAGCAGTATGTTAAGAGGAGCGAACTTTGTGTGATAACAGTTCTTCTCAACAACCTACCTCTGTCAAGAATTACTGTTCTGAGAATATGATAATTCATCACTCGTATTTTGATGTCTAACTTACTGTATATTAAACAACTCTGCTTTATTAAAGTCTTAGTTAAGAAATCTTTTTGCAAGCAACAAATGCTGGTGAGGCTGTGGAGAAACTGGAACCCTTACTCACTGTTGGTGAGAGTGTAAAATGGTACAACCACTGTTGAAGGTGGTGTGGTGCTTTCTCAAAAAGTTACAAATAGAGATACCGTTTGACCCAGCAATTCCACTACGGGGAATGTATCCCAAAGAGACCATAACTGACACCCAAGCAGATATATTCACACCCATGTTTATTGCGGCTTTGTTCACAAGAGCATGGAGTTGGAAGCAACCTAAGTGCCCACCAACAAACGAATGGATAGAGAAGCTCTGGTATATTCACACAATGGAATACTACGCTGCATTGAAAACCAGAGAACTCATGAGATATTATTCAAAATGGATGATCCTGGAGGACATTATGCTGAGTGAAATATCTCAGTCACAAAAGGACAAATACTGTATAGTGCCACTTTTGTAAAACAGGACTGACATCGGGGTTGGGGGTAGACTGATAAAGATGTGATAAATAATGTATACTGCATTGAAACAGATAATGGAGGAAACTGTTTAAAAGGGAAATGTGATTAGGTATTTTTGTCATGACAGGAGTCCAGAATGAAGGCTTCATACTGGAGTGGAAATGGGAGGAGGGATTATAAAACAATGAAAGAATTTTTCTTTTACTTTTCAAAGAGAAGAGTGTACTGGGGGTAGAGGTGTGGGCAGGGAGAAAAGTGCAACAATGAATTAATGGAAATGGAAAGACTCTAAATTTTCATTAAAATTAAAACAGTAATAAAATTTTTTACAAAAGAAATCATTTTGGGGGAGAGATGGCTGGGGAGAGAAGTGCAGCAATGAATGAATGGAAATCCAAAATCTCTGTAAATGTTCATTAAAATTATTAAAACAAATTAAAATAAATTTTTAAAAACAAAACAAAAAATCATTTAATATGAAATTGTTTTTCTTTAATGGCATAGTTTTACAAGTATCTTTCATTTTCACTGACATTTTATAATAATAAAAACATCTTTACCACTTTACCCTGACAATTTCTATCATTTCTTATACCAAGTACAAAGGGGCAGAAAGATGGGATTAGAATATTTCAACTAATATTTGCTATAACCGGGTGGCTCCTTGGAGGCAAGGATTCTGAGGCTCCGTCTAACATACCTTGGACATGGTGTGAGGAGAGACAGGTCCTTGGAGAGGGACATCATGCTTGGGAGGGAGGAGGGATGGTGCAGGAGGGGAAGGCCCTCTATGTGGTGGATTGATTCGGTGACTGGGATAATCGGGATGGGAGAGTCAGAGGCAGTGCGATTGGCACAGGACAGAGCGGAGTTTAGGGCTGTTGTACATAGGGTTGCTATGAGTCGCAAACGACTCGACGGCATATAACAACAACAACACCACATAAAGAACATGAAGTTGAAAAGTGGACTTTCTGAATGAATTTTAAGAGGTTTGGGGTCTTCGGGAACTGTACAGTGAAAATTATCAGTCCTGGCAATACATCATTGAGACCAGCAGTGTGTCATCAAGTTCAGTTGTGTTTCCTCGGGTTTCATGCTTCCTACAGCTCTAAATTACCAAGACAATTATACGCAAACTATGGTGGTGGTGTTTCTTTTTTCTTTTTAAAGAAAAAAAAAGAATGAACATAATGATAAAATAATAGTTGATTGTTCTGTAATACAGAGGAGTAAGTTTATTGAGGAACACAGCTTTATTCTCCATATTTAGTTTACAAAACTTTTTGTCAATAAAACAACTTACAATGAACATTATAATAAACGTTCAGAATAGACAATGAACATGTTTGTCATAGGTATTTAGGCACTAATATAAACTTATGTATTTGTAGCCAGTATTTATAAAATCATGCACTTAAATAAAGGCTTGATCTCATACCTTAAAAGTCTACATATAGAACTGATTATCTGATTCGAAGTGACCAAAGCTGGCATCTCACTCATACCTAGTATGTCAGTGTCATGTGTTCCATCTCATTTTTAGTATATCAGTGTTATGTGTTGCAATTCATTTTTAACATTTCCAGTTTGCCAACATTCAAGCTAGATCACTCCATGTTATGATTATTAAATGATATTTGTTATTGCATTTCTTCATTTCAACAATCTGGGTTCTACCACAGCTTTACCATAACTATCCTCATACCTCTAGTATTCACAGCATTTGCAAAGGCCTGTTATTTAAGAAGCAGAAGGTCAATCCTGCTTCCTAATCTGTGTTCATCAGGGATTTAAAAAAAACCTTCCCACCATAAGTAACCCTTATGGCATTTGACTCAACAGTGGCACAGCTTTCAGTATCACAGCAATCTCAAGTTATCTCAGTACAGCAAAATGAAAGACAAATGCTGTACCACTTAGAACAATGTTCTCCCCAAACACACTCAACACCAGAGAGCAAAAACATTCAGGCGATGTAATGAATTCAGAAAATCTGTATTCAGGGACTTCTCCAAATTATTGGGGAATAATGATGTCAGTTTGAGGACCAAGGCGCATCTGATTCAGGTCCTCCTCTTTCTGATCACTTGCTATGCATCTCAGAGCTGGACAACATATACGATGACAGAAGAAGACTTGATGCCTTTCAGCTGTGGTGTTGGAGAAGAGCACTGAACATTCCATCGAAGACCAAGAGAAAAAACAGATGTCTTGGAGATGGTGCAGCTGGAGTGCACTTTGGAGGCAAGAACGATGAGGTTTCTCCTCACATACTTTGGGCATGCTGCTAAGAGGGGCTATTCTTTGGAGAGGGATATGGTCTTATGAAGAGTGGAGGGTCAGCAAAGGGAAGGAAGATCCTTGACTAGGTCGAATGACTTGGCAACTGCCTCAATAGGCTCTTGTGTGTCAGGAAGGGTTAGGATGGCACAGAATAGAATAGGGTTCAAATCATTTGTTCATGGAGTCGCTATGAACTGTACTTGACCCAAGGGTACCTCACAACAACAACAACAACATATTCAACGAGGAAGCATGAAGACAGCAAACCCCATTTCATGGCTAATCACAACTAACCCCTGAGGTAGGTCAGGACCACATCAGATATTGGCTACCAAACTGCTAAGTCAATGAGATTCTGGACCAAATAGAGAAGGAACTGTGTGTCTGCTTAACCCAGGAGAACAAGGGGAACATGCAGCAAACGTAATGCCCAACAGACCAAGAGGCTCCCCAGACCCCTGCCTATTCCTCTCCTTCACATACTCCTGGTAGCAGAGATCCTGAAATAAGAACCTACAGTTCCTGTCTGTAGCTTCATGACTGAATTTTAAAGGATACAGAGGTAAATGTAATAAATAGTAAATCATCAGTCTTAACACTCAAATACTAGCTTGACACATTTTAAGGATCTAAATTAGACTGTATATAGAGTTTACATAGAACTCTCATGAGAAGATGAATTTCTCTCTCAGTACATAAATAGATCTACCTCTCATCACTCTCTTTACTGTCAATTCTCACCAGATGACAGAAGATCTTCTATCTAGCAGGGTTTATTAAGCTGTAAATCTATATGCTGAGGGAATTATTCTAGAAGCCTGACTCCATGAAGAGGAATGTGGGATCAGGATGGAGGTAGACTCATCAATAACCTGTGTTATGTGGACGACACAACCTTTCTTGCTGAAAATGAGGAGGACTTGAAATGCTTGTTGCACAAGATCAAGGAATTCAGCCTTCGGTATGGATTGCAATGTCACGGTGGATGGAGAAGAGATTGAAACTGCACACAGCTTCATCTTGCTTGGCTCCACAATTAACATCCCTGGTACCAGCAATCAGGAAATAAGGATAGGCATTGTTGTTGTTGTTATGTGCCGTCGAGTTCCCTGCGACTCATAGTGACCCTATGTACAACAGCCCTAAACTCCGCTCTGTCCTGTGCCAATCGCACTGTCTTTGACACTCACATCCCAATTATCCCAGTCACTGAATCAATTCACCTCATAGAGGGCCTTCCCCTCCTGCGCTGTCCCACCACCCTCCCAAGCATGATGTCCCTCTCCAAGGACCGGTCTCTCCTCACAACACGTCCAAAGTATGTTAGACGGAGCCTCAGAATCTTTGCCTCCAAGGAGCCACCTGGTTTAACCCTTTCCAGGACAAATCTGTTTGTTTTCCTAGCAGGCCATGGTATTCTCAATCCTCTTCTCCAGCACCACAGCTCAAAGGCATCAATTCTCCTTCTATCCTCCCTGGTCGTTGTCCAACTCTCTGATGCATAACAAGTGATTGCAAAGACCATGGCCTGTATCAGACGCACCTTAGTCTCCAGAGAGACACCATTGCTCTTCAGTACTTTGGAGAGGTCCCTAACAGCAGACTTTCCCATGGCAATGCGCCTTTTAATTTCCTGGCTGCTGGTGCCAAGACTGTTGACTATGGAGCCAAGCAAATTAAAGCTGTGTACAATCTCAATCTCTTCACCATCCATCCTGATGCTGCCAATTGGTCCAGTGGTGAGAATCTTTGTCTTCTTGACATTGAGCCTCAATCCATATTGTAGGCTGCAGTCCAATTGGAAAAGAAAATCTACTTCTTTAGGGAATCCAATTGGAGTTCAACAGGCACTCCAAAGATGTAACCTGGACTTTAGAAGAAGGTTGTCTCAGTTACCACTAAAGGAGAAAGCTTCAGTAAAATGACTCATAGCAAGTTATCTGTTTATTTTTAACGTCTTGAAAAGGGGTCTCAACTGGCTTGCTAGGCATTCCCCTCCATTAGTTGGTCAAACTCTCCCAGGACAATTACTCTAGTCTCAGGCTGGCTGGGTTTCCTCACAGGCCTGCAGGAGGTGAGGGAGGAGAGTTAAAATGACCGATAGAATGAGGAATGATCACTATCCATCCCTCATGAGGGTCAAGGTCTGAGTTAGTAAATTTCTGCATTGTTTCTCCTAGCCTATTCCTAAGAGCTGTAGGGCTCTCTTTTCTTGTGTTATTTTTATAAACTTAAATTAACTTAGACTTCACTCACACCTGCATGTAATCTCTGGCTGCTCCAGTGAGCTCTAGCTCTTCTAACTGATCGTTCTAAAGTAGGCTTTATTTTGGGAATGCCTGAGATCTATTTGCTATATATGGATTAGGAGCATACAAATTATTGGCACCACCAGTAGTGCCCACTTCTTTAGGAAGCACCTGGAGTGAGCCTGCAAAGGGAGAGGGGGCTAAAACGTGATTTTCTTTTTTTTCTCTTTTCAGCTTACTGCCAGTATGTGCAAGATTAGGATGAGCTCAGAGAGTGAAGAGTTAGGGGTCTCAACTCACTGCTAAAATCTGTAGCACCACTCCAAACTGACCAGTTATCAACAGAGAAAAGAAAAACAAACCAACAAAACCCTGGGAACAATCCTTTCTTTCACTGCACCACAAATGTGCACCAGGGAGTGGAGAAACACTAACTAGCCACCAACAAACTTTACTTCACCCACATTAACTAACATTATTAACAAAATTAAAGGTTTACTTACAATCTCAGTCTGTGCTTCATGCAGGAAATGTGGAAGAATGTAAAAAGAAACAGAGGTAGAGCTGACTGCTTAGGCAAGAAAGAGGAGTAAGTCTTTCAAACTAAAGCGATAAAAGGAGCAGACTTTTAAGATCATGGCTCTTTGAACCCCAAGGTGTTCTAGTTGTGCTTGATGTGCTGCTTAGGTGACTCATGTCTCAGTTTTCAGTTCAGAGAACTGGGCACGGACGGAAGTTACAGATTCCTTCCTCCCTGGACATGCCTCCTATTTCCCAGTGAGTCTCAAGAGAAGTCGCCCCTATTCCCTGGAATTCAAAGGCACACAAAGGAATTAAACACCCTGATCGAGCCCAAAAGGAAGAATATTAGGTGTATGCTGTGATCTCAGGGGCAGAGAAGCCCCTCTGTGAGGACTAGAGCACTGATATAACCCCCTGGTCAGCGCACTCGCTAGGACCCTTAGAAGCAGTGGTCTCCTTATCTCACAGGAGGCTGCCTACCTGATCTCCCACTGAGACTTTGGCAGACATAGGACCCCACAATCAATCTAAACGTGAAATCGTGTTCAAAGGACCAGGCTTTAGAAGCACAGAAGCAGGACAATTCACCAGTAGAATTGTCCTCTCTCAGTGGTCAGGAGTCCTCTGAAATTTTATCCCTGATAAGCCCCCAAAATGTCAAGGGGATGATTTCCAAAACAGGTCCAGGGGCCTTTTCGAGTAAGAACTAGTAAGTTCTGACTCAGATATACAAGAAATATACCAACAGCAAGTGAGAGCAAGAGAAAAAAACCCGTTTTTATTGTCATAGAGCTGCACTCCTCCTGGGTCGGTTTCTATTGTTACATTGTCACTGTCTTTGTCAAAACCAGTTCTTGATTTTTGTCAGCATTTCTTTTCCCATTCCCTGTCATTCAACACTTTGGAGAGGTCCTTGACAGGAGATTTTCAAAATGCAACATGTGTTTTGATTGCTTGACTGCTATTAGCACGTGTTAGTCATCTACTTGATTGTGGATTCAAGTCAAATGAGGCCACTGGCAACTTCACTGTTCCTCTCCTTTCATGATGTTGCATAGGATCGGATGATTAAGATTTTTAATTAATCTTTCTCTTTCTTTGAAACTATGAATCATCCCATTAGCATGAGCTTTTTTTCTACCTATGTAGAAACAGCATTTTTTAATTCTTGAACGATTTAAAAGGAAAGGGAATATGATTTGTACATTTCCCTGTCATTCATAGGAGTATTACATAGGAAAATGAAAAGCTTCCCAACCTCTCTGAGCTCTACCTGCTAGAATTCTGTGACCCAAGTAGCTTTAATTTGCTGGATTAGAATCACTAGGAGGTGCAGAAGGAAAAACAGTCCTTGTTTCATTTTTTGACTGCTTGGGAAACAACATATATTTCAGGGTCTGACCCAAATTCAGTAAGTTCCTCACCATCTCCTTAAGCATGGTGCCTTATCTCATGTTCATATTTAGAAGATGAATCTTCAGGATCTGAGTCAAGTGTTTAAATGGTTTTAAAAAAGGATAAAGAGACTCTTGTCTTTTGTGGACCTTCAGACAAAGATAAGGGAGGAAGAGGTGGTGGGAGATGATCAGGATTTACATGCTCAACTGTGAGTCTTCAGCCTCTTCTGTTTATGTCTCCTCCTCCACTACTTGGAACTTGTAGGGGTTCAACTACTTACCACAGACCACAAGGTCCAGACTTCTGCTGATAGCCTATCACTGTGCCCATGTGTCCTTTTCAAAACTCTGTTAGTCTATTCCCTTGTTTTTAAATCTAAAGACCCTTCTTTGGGAAACCAAGGATGATATTGATCCACAACCTTCAAAAGTTTCATTAAATGTGATGAGGAGACCTTTATTCTATTATCCTTAAGCAACTGACATAGCAAACAATACAAATACTTAAAGACAAAAGAAGATTGCCCCATTTTCTTGTTTTATATTTGTGTCTCTGTCCTTAAATCCCCCCAATGATTTCTGACAGTGTAGCCAACCTCTCCTCTGACATTTACTTTCCTAAACTTTTTTACTAAGATCTTTCTGTTCAAGAGCCACTTGTAGAATATAGTTCTACACCAGGTCGGAGAGTGAGGAATCAGAGAGCCTTAGGGGGTGAAAAAAAAAGACACAAAATAGTTGAGCAGAAAGGGATGAAAGACCTCAAGAATCTTAAGTGACTATTCATCACAGGCAAAGCTATTTTTTAAATAAAATTTTTGTTTTATCCTAGGTTACTTATCAAGCCTATATATATTGTTTTTCACCCCAGATCTTTCCCATTTCCTTTACACACTCCTTCCTCTACCAAGCAAATTGTGCTAGCCTACGATTACCCTCCTGCCAATCCTCACCCCTCTGTTCCTACCCTACTCCCCTTGGATCCTCGTACACATTTAACTAGTTATCTATTTCTACAATGATGGACTTACACACAATATTTGTCCTTATGGGACTGAGTTAGTTCACTTAGCATAATGCTCTCCAGACTCTGCCAAGTTAGGTAGCAATTTTCAAAATTATTGCTCCTGCATACTGTGTGGTATTCTATCATGTGAATGTAGCATCATTTCTTAATCCATTAGATTGTGTTTGGACATCTAGGCTATTTCCATGAGCTTGCAATGGTGAATAACTTTGCTGTGAATATTGTTGTACAAGTCTCCATTTGTGCCTCAGTTCTATTTATCTTAGTGAATATTCCAAGCAGTGGAATAGTTGGGTCATATGAAATTTCTCTATTAATCTTTTTGAGGAGATGCTAAACTTCCTCCCAGAGTGGTTGTACCATTTTACAATCCCATAAACAGTCTACAGGATTTGCTATCTCTTCACATTCTCTCAAACATTTCCTACTTGCTGTCCAGTTAAACTTTGCGACTGTGACTGGGATGAGATGGCTTCTCATTGTGGTTTTGATTGGCATTGCTGTTATACAGGCAAAGCCTTTAAGCAAGATATTAAAACAATATCATAAACACCTGAAAATTGTTACCAGTTTTAACTGGGGTGCAAACATTTAGTCATGAAGATTTTCTCTTAATAAACATTTCTCCAGTGCTTTTATAAAAAAACATGTTCCACAAGATGCTCAGAGTCCTATCAGCAAGGCTTTGCTCCAGGAGGCCAGCAGGACTCATTATATCAAGTTGCCCTCAACTAGCCCGCAGGATTTCCTATATTCTAGTTCCCAAATGATTGGACATATCCTTAGTCATGTACTAGTCACGTGCTTTTTCAAATCCACAGTATAAAACAACAACAAATAATCTGAGGTAAACTGGTCAGAAGTGAAAGGCTCAGTGGTCTCTGTTTGTATTAATCCTTCAGCTGCTTCTCATTTCCAAGGTACCAAGCTCTCTGAAGATGCTGTCTGGGACTCAGCCTTAGCTGAAGGGAACAGGACAGCAGCTGGGTTTAATTAAAGGAGCCATTTCCCACTTTTCTGTCCTCAGCTTATTGCCATTTGATCCAGGTGAGTAATCTTGACTTGAAAAGAGAAGGAATTAAAAGGCATTCAGACCCACAAAGAGATAGCTAAAATAGTGCTATATGCAGATGACAGGCCACTCTGGTGGCCTAGTGACAAGAAGATACGCTGCAATCTAGAAGGCACACAGTTCAAGACCACTAGCTGCACTGTTGGAGAAGGATGGGCTATCTCGTCCTGAGTGATTAACTGACTCTGAAAATGCACTGGAGGGTCAACTAGGGGTTGGTTCCAAATGTACAGTACACAACAACAATAACATGGAGATGATATGATACTGTACACTAAAAACCCAAAGGATTCAACATAAAACCTGTTAGAGCTAGTAGGCAAGTTAAGTAGGGTGGCAGGATAGATATCAATATTCAAAATTCAATGCGATTTCTCTACAATAACAAAGAGAACCCAGAGAAGGAAACCAAGAAACCAATACCATTTACAATACCCAACGACAAATTGAGATACCTGAGAATGAATCGAACTAGAGACAAAAAAACACATGTATAAAGGAAACTAGAGAACATTTCAAAACCCCTAAATAAATGGGAAAATGTTCCCTCTACATGGATAGACAGACTCAATATTTTAAAAATGACAATTCTACCATAAGCAACCTACATGTTCAACACAATGCCAATACAAAGTTCATTTTGCAATGTGAGCAAAAATGAAGTTGTCAAGTTTATTTGGAGAAGAAAGAGACTCCAAATAAGCAAATCACTTCTGAATAACAAAAATTAAGTCAGAGGTATAGCACTCCCTGACCTCAAAAACTACTACTACACAGCAGTAGTAACCAAAACAGCATGGTACTGGTACAATGACAGGTACATGGACCAATGGAGTAGAACAAAAAAAATCCAGAAATGCAACTCTATATCTATGTTCAACTGACATGCTACAAGGAAATAAAACCTATCAGATGGGGGAACGACAAACTCTTCCACAAATGATGCTGGCAAACTGCACTGCTACCTTGCAGAAAGCTGAAACAGGATCCACATCTCACACTACGCACAAAAATCAACTCAAGGTGGACCAGAGACCTGGAAGTAAAGCCCCAAACCATAACGGTCGTACGAGATAAACTGGGGCCAATCTTTTAAGGCTTGATTAATGGTATAAAGAGAATAACAAATTCAGCCAGAAATGCATGACCTAAAGAGGATAAAACTGAATGGGACCTTTTAAAGATTAAATCTCTGTGGTCGTCAAACGTGTGCTTTTTCCAACAGGGTGAAAAGAAAATCTA